AGGGCACCAAAAAGTGCCCTTTTTCTTTTTAATACCAAAAAGTGTAACTCCAGACAAGGACATTCAAAAGCCAGAAAGCAATTAGAGCAAGAGACCAGCTGGGTTTGCAGCAAAGTCAACCACTGCTAGATTTGCACTGGCTACCTCCCCAGCACCTTGCTGGTTTTCCCTTGTAAAGGTCCAACCATCACAAAACCTTATTTGATGCATTGGCTCATCCAGGGTACATTAACAAAGCTCTGGACAGCAGAAGTATTTAATTTAGTTTCCCTGCTTGAGTGTGCTGATTTTGGCTGGAATAATTTTCTTCCCAGTAGCTGGTATGGGGTGGTGTTCTGGATTTGGGCTGGCAACAGTGTTGATAACAGAGAGGTTTTTGTATTTAGTGAGCAGGGCTTGCAGAGGGCATTTCTGCTCCTGGAAGACCCCTGGCAGCCAGAAGGCTGGGGGTGCAGGAATCAGGCATGGACACAGCTGGCATTGCTGACCCCAACTGCCCACAGGGATACTGCAAGGCATCAAACTCAGCATATAAAGCTGGGGGAAGAAAGATGAAGAGGGGGAGGTTCAGAGTGATGGTGTTTGACTTCACGAGTCATTGTCATGCATGATGGATCCCCACTGTCCTGGAGGCAGCCAAACACCTGCCTGACCACTGAAAGTGGTGAGAAACAACTCCTGGTTTTCCTTTGCTTGTCTGCATGGCTTTTGCTTTACTTATTAAACGGGCTTTATCTCAACCCACAATTTTTCTCACTTTCACCTCTCTGATTTTCTCCCCCATCCCAGTGGTGGGGCAGTGAGTGGCTATGTGAGGCTTAAACCAGGCCTGAAAAGCAAAGCTACAGACATGGCAGGCATAAATATGGGAAGCAGATGATTGTGAGGTGATGCTGAAACTATTCTCAGCAGGACAGGCACAGTCAACCCTTCATGTTTACTCGCTGTATTTTCACAAAAAGCTAAGCAACTGTTTCTTTTGCTCTTTTAAAATTATTTTTGTTTTGCTTCTGACATAAAAAAGAACAGACCATATGCCGTGGAGAATTGTATGAATCTGAATAAAATAAACCTGGGAAACCGATTAACAGCACCATCCCATAAAAATTCAATTAAAGTAATGGGAGGCAAAGATTTCCCAGCAGGATGCTGTGGCAACTAGAAAGAAACCACTGTGAGCCAGGCAAGTGTCCAGTTTTCCTTTAAAGAGTGGCTGCTGAATGGGAAGGGCTCCAGCTTTCCAAAACCTGCCTTTCACCTTTGAACCATTCTATGTAACTTCTGAGGCTTGGATGATTTGAAGTTTACTGCAGCTTCCCTTTTCCAGCTCCTTAATAAAAAGAAGCAGAGATCAACACATGAACACAGTGCAGGATTAAATGCTGAAGGATGATTTGTCAAAGGCTTGTAGGAAACAACCATATTTTACAAAATTGTTTTAATTCCTTTTAAGCATTCTTCTCTACGATTTCTAACTTTTTGCCTTGCCCTCATATCAATTCTCTGCAAAATTAAATCCAAATTCAAAAGTTAAAATTTCTTCACAACAATCAGCCTTAGAGTTGTCTTTATCATATTTTCATAGTTTTGATCAGTAACCCTTTTTATGCTGAAGCTCAGTATTTTTGATCCAGCCCCTCAAAGACAGCAGAGTTATAAACACTGCATTCCTCCAGGACACCCAGGCATGCCACGTCCCAAAAGAGTTACAGCACAACAACTGGACGCTGATTTAACACTTGATGGTGAAAAAACTGATGGGTATTTAAGCTGTGGGATGTTTTCCCCCTGCAGATGACATGTTCAAGCAATGGTTACTGGAAGGAACTGGATTTGCAGCTGTGCTATTCAGCCCTACAGCTGAGCATATTTGATAGAGTGGTAGCAAATACAGCCCATTAAGTGCATTTTTTAGCATTTTAATAAGATGAGCTGTTAAGAAGCATTTCGTTTTCCTTTCAGGTGTCTACTGATAACATACATGACACTTCCTCTCCACCACTTCATCTCCCTAACAGGAGGGTTTTGCTGAGGAAGCTGCTGTGGCTCACCCTGCTCCAAAGCTCAGCAACAGTGGGTTAAACAAAGGAAGTGGGAATCACCCACCCTGCTCAGCAGCAGCTCTGCTTTTGAACCACAGCACAGCCACACGTTGGGAGGGTTACTGAATCATCCTCTGCCAACAGCACAACCCGCAGAAAGGGAAGGGGGAACTGTTTTAAACTGTCACAGCTTCAGTTGATGGGGCTTCTTCCTACTCGTGTCAGCAGCTTCACACCTGCTCAAAGAGGCTGCTCCCAGGCTTAAGCTCCTTAAGCTCCTTTCTCCTAAGTCTATGTGCACGTTGGAAATTGGCTTTTTGATAGAAAGGGACAAGGTAATAGCCCTGCACATCCACTGCTCTGTGTGCACACCAGAGCGTTGGGCAACACAGCTCCTCTGTGAAAGTTTGGGATGTTCTGGTGATCCCCTCACCCACTTAATGTGGTCACATTTCCTAAAAAAACATAAAGAGGGTCAAACAGCAAGACAAACTCACAGTCCAACCATCCAAGGACTTGCAGAGACTCTTGGATGTATTACTCTCAATCTCCATGACTAACAAGGTTTGGGATATCATGGTTATGTGAGATGCCTAAGCAATATTGTAATTTTCCCTTCCCCAAGCCTTTAACACTTTGTAACTCTACAATGTCTAAAGTAAAATTGCAGAATTGGTCTGTTTTCTTGGGGTCTCTTTAAATAAGAGAGAAAGCAGAGCAGAGGTCTGGTAAAATATGGGTAAGGATATAGGCAAGCATTAGGAGAAGTGTCAGACTAGACAAAAGGTAGGAAATGTGCACAGGAAAAGATTATAGAAGCTTTCATCTCAAAGGACACATTTTGTTTTACATTTGTCTATAGCTGTACGTGACTATTTGCCTTTTTTCAGACTGCTGAAAGCACACCATGGCATATAAAGCTGTCCAGCTAAGATGACAGCTGCCCATTTTCCTGTCTCATTGCTATTGCTAACAGAATTAAAAAGCAAAACCAGACCTCTTACCCCTTCTACGCGCTCTTTACACGTAACTGAAACAAAAAAAAGCCCACCCCAAAACAAAACAGCGACCAACCAAACAAATCCAAAACATTCCTCAAAAACCACCAGAGTTCATACTCTAAATTCGCTCAGTTTGCTGGGTTCACTTTTTACAGAGACACTGCATCGGCAGCTCCTGTCCGGCCGCTTTCACAGGCAGAAAAGGCAACCACCCCGTCCAAAAAACCTCAGGCACACGTAATGTTTAATCCCCCCCTCTCTCCTAAAAAACCCTCAGCTGCAAAGAACCGGTTAAAACTTTTAGGACACTGGGCAACGTCAGCTCTTAGCAAAGACTCACATCCTGCTCAGGGGCTGCTTCCAGCACGGCTCAGGGCCGCTCGGAGGTGTCCTACAGCCAGCCCCGGCCTGGGGAACCCTCCCGGGGACAGCGATCCCGCCCGGGGACAGCGATCCCGCCCGGGGANCTCCTCCCCGCCGCGGGCAGCGCCGGCCGGGAGCTGAGGTGCGGGTGAAAGAGGCAAACCTGCTGCCATCTGCGGGTGCCGCGGTCTGCGTGCTCGCCACAGGGTCCCTTCTGGAGGTCATCTGTCCCAGCAGCCCTGCCGAGAGCAGGAACGCGTCCAGGTGGGTTTGGGATGTCTCTAGAGAGGGAGACTCCACGGCCGCCCTGACAGCTCCCTGGATGTAAAAAAGTTCCTCGTGTTGAGGTGGAACTGCCAGTGCATGTCTCTGGCTTCGGGGAAATGCCGAATTTAGCTTTAAAGACTGACATCAGCAGAGCTCTGCAGCTGCCGAACAAAAAGCATGATAGGTGTATGCTCTGCTTTTCCACTTGTGGGGCTGTTCTAAGTGCATCCACTTCACAGGGGACTGTGCAAACCTGTTACTCGTTCCTGATGCTCACTCAGCCCGTTTCAGCTGTCTCACAGCTTTCACTCCAAGTTTCACACTGTTTTCACACTGTTTTCACACTGTTTACACACTGTTTTCACTCTGCAGCATGCCCACTGCCACTTTCACCTGTTCTTTGCCATGGATTTCACCTCCTGGTCTCACACAGAGCTGTAACTCAGGGAGTTTTCCAGCAAAGCTGAGCCCTTTGCTATGCTTTGACCAACAGCCATGAGCATGGCATTTGCATTTGGTTTTGGGGTGGTAAATGTCTAAGTGGTGGCCAGTCTGAGCCTGCAGATAATGAGGTTTCTGTTGGTGATCCTTCTGACACCTACAGGTTTTCATCGCCTCCCGAGTTTTAACATTTTGTGCCACCACTGTTGAATAGTAGCAGCAAAGCCTGCAGTTCTGTGCAAGTCAGGGAAAAATATTTATATGTACATATGTAACTGAAAAAAAAAACCCCATTGTTTTTTCTTTAGGCATTATTTTACTGAATCTTACTGACGTACTTGGGCTGAGCACACTGTGATTTATAAGGCTGCAATACAAAAACAGCACTCAGCTGGCATTGCGGTGTAATTTCCTGATAACCGTGGTAGAACAAATTTGCTCAATCGACAGACAAATGTGTGGAACATTACTTGTTATCATCCCATTAGCTCCATGGCTTATGTATATACTAATTACACTGCATTTAAGCGGAGGGCATTCGTTTTCTGTTGCATTGCTTGGTAAGAAGGAATCCAGTAGAGAAAACGTTAAGCGTGTGGTTGCGTGTGAGTCACGCGTTGGACATCGTGACGCGGCAGAATTTCTGTGGTGACAGCAGTACAGAGAGCGGTTGGATTTCCTAAATTACTGTTTAGCAGGGCAGGCTGTGGCTGTCCAGACTGTTCTGCAGCCCCTTAAACAGGGACAAGAGCCCCTGAACAGCAGCAGGGCCGCTGATGGAAAATAAGGGACTGCAGGAAACTGCCTTAATTTTCAGCCACTGCTGGCAGGAGGGGGCAATGTCAAAGGAGTTTTGATACCATTTACAATATTAAACAAATCTGGACATTGTTTAGAAATTTATTAGCAATTTTAAAATAACATCATTCCTTAGATAAAAATGCAATCTTACAGGAATATACATTTGTCCCACACAGAGATGACCCTATAGCTCACTGGCGGGCCATTCGCTCTAACTTTCCTCTGTTGATTTTAAAACGTGCGAGAGGGCAAGACGGACTCTGGCACTGATGACAGGCTTACATGACGGTTACAAACTGTACAGCAGTATTTACAAAAGCATTTCTGTGGGTTCATGAAAACTAGATATAAAAGTGTGGAAGGAGGTAAAGAATTGAGGCAGGGAAGGGCTTGGGTGGAGGTGCAAGGGAGGGCTGGGAAGGTGGGCAGGGAGTGTAGGGAAGAGTGGGAGAGGAGGTTTATATCTGGACTGATTTATACTTGAGAGAGGTCATTTTACAGCTCTGGGCAATTCAAATGAAGGCAAAACAATTATATTTATCAACATTTATAGCTGATGATCAGAGCAGGAAATGGTGCTCCAGGGCCTGAACTTAAGAGATGCTGAGGAACCCCATCTTCCCTGAAGTCACTGGGAGACACCGGTACCCAGTACCTGCCGGGCCAGACCCTAACCATGCACAGACAGCACCCCCCAGACCTTAAATCCTTTGGATCCTGCAGTGCTCAGTCCTTGGTGCTGATGTGAATTCAGACTGAGTGAGAAATCAGCTCCTAAATTACACTTTCGCTCCTGAAACCGGACTAGATTCCAACCACTTCTTGCCGGAATTCACCCAAAGTGACTCATCCCTTGCTCTATCAAGCGGCAATTGTTTGGAGGGAGATTCATCATTCAGAATTGATTTTTAAGGCAGTTTTATAAGTATCTCCCCCTTTTTTTTTTTTTTTTTTGTGTGTGATGCAGCAATGTTTGTCAGAGATATTTACAATCTCACTCCTCCTCCTCCAAAATCTTCCCACATTCAAACTGTCAAGACTAAATAAGCTTGAAACAATCATTTCTATGAGCAATCATAAAATTGATGGTGTTTAGATAGTATTGGCTGCCAGTCTACCTAGGTGCTTGAGATGGGAGCAGACTGACTTAGGATGCTTAAAATACTGAAAGCATTTCAGCCTAACTGGGAAAGAGCTAACAGAAAAACACAGGTATTTAACCACCTGAATGATGATGCCAACAAATGGGGTCTGAGTTTGTGGCTCTGTCTAGAATAGGGAAAAAGCTTTGGAAAGGGGCTGTTGGAACGCTGGCAGAAAAATCTGTGATTGAGTGGAGTGATGCCTGCTCTGGCCTGGGTCTGTCCTGGCTCCCCTGGGCCTGGGATGCTAATCCTGGCCTAAGGAAAGGACCAGGGAGAGCGCTGCCGACTTCAGGCCGCAGGAGTGGAGGCAGAGTGCCTGACATGGGGTAGAAAAACAACAGCATGGGAGCGTGGAGACAAGCTCCTGATCCTGCCTAACTAAGCCCTTGGTAATGCTAATGAAGATTTCCTCATTACATCAGTCATTGGTGCTGCTCCTCTCAATTAGCCCTTTAGAAAGGGACTTGATTAAGTTGCCTGATTGTCCCCTGGCACCTGAGATCCTGCCTGGGCCAGAGCTGTCCCTCTCCCCATGTCAGCTGCGGCAGACATGGCAGAGGACGCTGTAGGGTATCTCAAGTGACAGTGGACACCCACGTTTAGGCAACTGAGTCGAGCCCTGTGCCCCTAAAGAAGGCCTGGCTTTTATGCTCAAGTGTTAAGTTCCCTGTAAGGGGGAGGAGAAGAATGGAGAATTTAACTAGAACACTAAAGTTTGTATCAGAAAAGGTCTTTTTTTCCATTCCAGTGTGATTCTGGGATGTCTGTGAGTTTTCTGAAAGCAATTGGAGCCCAATTTGTCTTCAGAAGAGGACAGATCTCCTGCTGTGCTTCTGCCCTCACCCACCCAACCTCAGGGAGCTGTAGCAGCAAGGCCAGAGTGGTTTCAGCTTTCCAGAAACAAAGCAGGAACAGAGATAAAAGCTCCACGGACTGAGATCCAGTTGGAAACCTTCTGGATCCCTGGTCTTGCTCACCCAGAATAAAACCTTGAAAGTTTCACAACATTCAAAAGAAAAAAAAAACAAAAAAACAACCCTGTGCAGCTATTGAGAATTGGATTTCTTAAGACTTTTTTGAAGAAGAAAATAAAGAGGGGAAAGATGTAATTAAATTTTTCAGGGCCCAGTTCCGTTTTCCACATTCTTTGCATCAATACAACCTCCTTGGCCTCTAATGCCCTCCAGCCTCATGTTAGCAAGATGGGAATTGGGGCTTCTGATGGCCTGGAATGTTTTATTTATGTGCACTACAGTTTTAATTGTGGGAACTGACAAAATCTCACTGCTACCAGAAACCCCAACTGTATTCTCCTTCCATATTGTGCTCCAAAATCCCCATTCAGTGTTCCTCTCCCCTCCCACCGCCCCTGCTGTGGGGACAGTCACAGCAGGACCACGGATGTGTCTCAGGATACTCAGTTCTGTCTCAGCAGGGCTGGACCAGTGGGTTGGGGTTTCTCATCTACACGAAGCAAGGCCTCCATCTCCATGTGTGACACAGGTGAGCAACCCCACGGGCTCGGGGTGCCTCCACCTGGCCTGGTTGTGTCTGTGTGCAAACGCGCATACATTTCATACAGCAATCTGAAACTCAGGCAGAAAAGACACAGGAGCCTGGCTGAGACCCATACAACTGTTATATTGGCGTCAGTCTAAAGAAAGCAATGATACATTGCTTTGGAAATTATCAAGAAATGTAAAAAATGCATTTGCCCTTTTTTTTTTTTTTGTTGTTGTTGTTGTCGTCGTAGTCACCGGGGCAGGGTTGTGAGTCAGAAAACAAAGCAGAAATAGATGCGGTTCTGTACATGGCGCCTCTCTGGCTGTCCCTCCGTGCTGGGGTGTGGTGGGCAGGGCAAGAAAACAGGCGGGACCCCTGCGGTAGCAGCAGCATTGACACCATCATCGTCCACATGTCCAGCTGAAGAGGCAGACGATGCACAAAAGGTCTGTGGACAATGGAACTCCAGCTCTGGATCGTGAGTTTGCTTTCCCATCACGTCAGCCACACAGAAATAGGGAAGAAAAAAAGAAATGCACTCGATGTGGCTGGCCCAGTACTGTCTGGACTAATGAGCAGGAGTGATACAGGGAGGAGGTTTGTTGTTTTATAAGAAATGTCTTTAGTCTGCAGTGTCCTCTTGTGAGTCAGAGATGCTCAGAGGCAAACAGCAGATCGTTTTCCCCATTCTTTCCTTCCACGCCACTTCTCAGCCATGGGTTCCTTCAAAGCTTCCATCCACAGCACAGTGATTGTACCCACCATCCACTCCCATCCACAGGGAAACACTCCAGGAATGAAACCTGACCCCTCCTTCCCACTGTCCCCCAGACTCTGCCTCACTTGCAGGAGGCAGCAGCTCTTTGCTCAGGCCTGTCACAATGTGCACATTTGAAGTACCTCAAATGATTAAAAAAAAAAGAAAAAAAAAGAAAGCCACCCTCCCCAGAAAGAGAAATTACAGCTGGCACCAGCAATTACTAAATTTAACACCTGCACCTCAGACTGTAAAAGTCATTTGCATTCTCTGTTAGCCAAACATTTTCCACTCTGCAGCACCTATGGGGTCTTGCAGGAGAGAGCAGGGGTTTCCCCTGGCCATTGTAGGCTCTGACCCCCGAGCAGTAGCAGCTTTCACAAAGAATGCCTGGGGCACAAGGTCATTTTCCTTCCCATCCAGAAAAATCCTCAAAGATGGGCTGTCAAGCATCCAAAATGCTCATTGTCACCATGAATTGCTATTTTTCAGGAATAGTGAAGAACCCTTATCTTCCCTTGGGAGGGTCAGATGGACTTTGCAGTGAAAGGAAATGAGTTAGGGAGCCCTTACACGGCATTTTCCCCTTTTGAGTACCTTTGGAGCACAGCAGCAGCAGCAAACTCACAGGGAGACACACGTGTATGCCCATCTCCATACAGGCACCTGGGATGAAAGGATGAGACTGACCCCAATCACCTGGTTACTTTCTCCAGGGAAGCCTTGAATTATGACTTTGACCACGGATGCTTGTACAAATGGATTCCTATTTCTCTAGTATTTGTTTTTTTTCCCAAGGTATCTTGAGTTGATACTGGCCAGTTCAAGAAGTACAGTCAAAAATACCCTTTGCTATTTCTCCTTCATGCCCCAGAGAATTGAGAAGAAAAACAAGAGCATTACAAAAATAATGTAATCAATGTATGCAGTGAAGGGTGTTCTCAGATATCTGCAGAAGCTCAAGATTTGAATCAAAGTTTAGCTCTGAGTCAGATCACACCTCAGAACCGATCTGCAAGTTAGTGAATCATCCCGAGGAGGGAGAAAAACCTGCAGCAGTCTAGACAAAAACCAGTTGCATAAAATCTAACAATACCTGCCTGTTTTTTCAGCCTCTCTCGAGGTTAGGGCAACCATCAGTGTGTGAGAGTTTCACACTTACTAGTCAGGAACTGTGGCTGGGACATGCTGTGCTGCCAGGTGTTTTGTGACTTTAGTACCTGACCCATCCACTAAAGTCTGGGAAAAGGATTGAGATCATGCACAGAAACTTGGCACCTGCATTCTTGACCAGACTGCAGCAATTCTCCCAAAAAAGATCCACAGCTCTCTCCCTCTGCTTTCAGCCCAGACCAGGGTTAGATAACTTTATTTTCCCAACTATTCTGATTCTTTCCTTTCTTATCTCTGCTAAAATTGAATGGGGTTCAGCTATTTAATAAAATAATTTTGAGGCCAGATTTTTTTTTCCCTTCCCCTCGCTGCTTCAATTGCTGGTGCCAGCTGAACGTGAAGGATGGATCTGCCAAATGGGCTTTGGGGGTCTTGCCACCCTCGAGTGGGACGAGACCTTTAGAGGAACTGAGCAAAAGGAAAGAAAACAAAGCCTGAAGAAAATGTTCCCAGTCTCGGGAAGAAAGATTCTCTACCGATAAAAGTCATCGTGCACGTTAAAAGGGAGTGAGGAAGAAGGAAAATGAACACAAGATATGCAAAATCAGTAACGTTCAACCTGTCAGTGGATTGCAGAATAGTTACTTACACCAGGTACACTTTGTTCATCGTACAAATTAAAAAAGGAAAAAAATAAAGTAATGAAATAGTACCCTTTCCCCAACCACACGTAAAAAAGCACTTAAAAGTTCAAAGGTAAAGCTTGGCACATTCCAAATACGAAATGATTCACTTGACATGCAGCAAAATATACAAGAAGTGATTCTTTTTTTTTCTTTTTTTTTTTAAACAAACTTAATTCAATTCATTATCTTTGCTTGGCACAATTGCAATTCATTTTAAAAAAATATTTGAAAAATACTGAAACTGACCTGAATTCAAGTATAACGGTTTCTTCAACAGAAACATTATCAATGCAATAAAACATCACACGGAATATATCGAAGCGTAACATCTTCTGGTTTTTGTTTTTTTTTTTTTTTTTTTGTTTCTCCCCCCCCACCCCCGTAAATTTTTTCTTTTTTTTTCTCTATACAGTTTTAATGCCGACACAACTTACAATTTTTATTTTAAAATGAATATTATTGCATTGTTTTTGCATATCTTGTGGAACAGAAAATGCAAAGTTACCGATTCCCTTTTGGAAAGCAGAGACAGTGGTTTGTTTTTTTGCATTCGAATGGCCCCAGGTACAGATCTCCCGCAGCAGGGCATGGAGAGCTGCTCCTACACACACGCACACTCGCTCTCACAGATACACTGAGCACTAAAAAAAAAAGAGAACCCAAACCAACCACTCAAATGTGCAAGACTATATCAAGTGCATTGCCTACTATCTTTTAAATTATAAAACAACAACAAACGGACAAACGAACGAAAAAAATAAAATAAAAAAAAAAAGGTTTGCTAGTAAATAAAATGACAAATTCTCGGTGTACATAATGGTTGGTAAAACTCATCTATCATTATATTTCTACCAAATTCCAATGGAGAAACACCCCCCTCCCACCCCAGTTTAAATAATACAACATGATCAAACCGATTTAACATCTGCAAAGGTGAAAATAAACCAAAACAAAAAAGGTAGGTGATTACAAAACGCTGTAAACACTCCCTTCTCCCTCAAAATAATAATAATAATAATAATAATAATAAAATAGTCAAAATAAAAACTGCAACATGCTTTCAAGAAAATACCAAACTGCAAAACAAGAATAACTCTGCACAGGCCCGGCGGCCCCTCAGCCCCGCGGCCATGCCTGCTCTCCCATTGGCTGGCACAGTTGGCGCGCTAAGCTCTGATTGGCCGGCAAGAGACTGCCTGAGCTCGGATTGGTTGGCGAGTGACCGCCCGAGCTGTGATTGGCCGGCAGGGGCCGCTGCCTGAGTCTCGGCAGAGCTGGGCCGCGCCTCGGGCTTCTCCTGCTTCCTCCTCCCCGTGGCCGTGTGGGAATCCACAGCAGAAGTCTTCCTCTCCTTCCGAATCAAAGGGCCTTGGCTTTATGGAGACGGTGAGGCTCATACAGAATATGTGCAAAATGATTTTTACAAGCAAGGTTGAAAGACACCCGTTTGGCGCAGGGTCCTTTTGGCTAGGGCCATCCACAGGAAGCTGAGGTTCCCCTTGGTGCTCCGGAGGCAGCTGTCGTTCCTTGTGCAGGGACTGAAAAAAAGAGGGAGCTGGCTCTCCTCCTCTTCTTCTTCTCCTCCTCCTCCTCACTCTTCCTTCATGGACACGTGCTGGGGTTATATCCGCTCCTGAAAAGCTTTCTTACACCACCCAACTCTGCGACTCGTCCCAACAGAAATGAATGAAGAACGCTGTTCCGGTTACTCCAGGTCACGAGAACAGTGAGGCACTTCTGAAACAAACCCATTAGGAACATTGAAACAAATAAAAAACCAGCATCGCTTCCAGCCCTGGCAACTACAGGCTGCTGATATAAATCCTGCTGTCCTTGAGCTCCTCCTGACTTATCCTACAATCCGGGTTCTGCACCTCTTCCTCTTCCTCTCCTGCACTGTCCTGCCCTGGGTCCCTGCAGTTAGCAAAAGGCAAGAGGTTGCCATTGGGGCTCTGCTTGCTGTTACCATTGAGAATGTTGTCTGCTGCATTTTCCATCTCTTCTATCGTCATGTCGCAGGCGTCTGCGAGCTCCTGGGTTGTGACCTCAATGAACTTTGGATCTTGAGCAAACTGCATCAGTCCTTCCGAAATCAAGACCTTCAAAAGCAGGTGGGGAACCAGAACACAAAGACACGTGTTAGTTAGTACCCTGCAGCACCAACCCTGCCGCACCTCCAGCACAACCCTCTTTACTGCTGCCTTTCCTTCTCCCATTCTCTCTTCCAAAGCCCTGCTGGGAGAAGGGCTCTCCTACTCGTGGCACTGCAGTGGATTGGCTGTCCTGCCCTCCCAGGGCCACGTTTCGAGCTGCCCGTGTCCCCCCCTCGGTGCCCGCGCTGTGCTCTTACCGCTTCCACCAGGCTGCTGGCGCTGCCGTGGAACTGCCGGCTGCTGCCTGCGCTGGGGCTGGGCACGGTCAGGGACACCGGCCGGGCTCTCCTGGGGCTGCCGCCGCCCTCGGGGTACCGGGAGCCGCAGTGCACCGACGGCAAGCTGCTGTTGAGCTTCTCCGAGGATTCCGCCCCGTCGAGGCGCAGCGTTGGGATGCTCTGTTGCGGCCAGCCTCGGTTGCAGGGCGTGGCCGGGGGTGTAGCACACAGCCGAGAGAACATGGTGGGGGAATGGCTTCGCTGGAGCAGGGGACTCAGGCCGGCCACTGCTAATGCCTGCGGACACAGGAGGGACAGGGAGTGAGGGCTTGCAGGGCTGGAACAAGGAGGTGCTGGAGGAACCATCAGCAAAAGGGCTGGAGAGTCTCGAGGCTTGTGAAAACAGCTGCCAGCTCCTTGAAGGGTTTGGATGTGTGCCGCAAACTCATTTTGCAAGCTTTCCTTTGAGTGGTGTACCCTGTGCTAGTGCCATGGCACTGGACTGGAAATTTTCAGAAAAAAATTTTCTGGGAGCCACGACACTGCCAGGAGGGATGCAGCCCCATTCCCATGGCACTGCCAGGAGGGATGCAGCCCCATTCCCATGGCACTGCCAGGAGGGATGCAGCCCCATTCCCATGGCACTGCCAGGAGGGATGCAGCCCCATTCCCACGGCACTGCCAGGAGGGATGCAGCCCCATCTGCACTGCCAGAAACATCACCTCTTCTCCAGTGGGGGAGACAGCAGCTCGTTTTCCCACCACTGATACCAGACATAGCACAGGCTTTTATTGGCACTTGCTGTTTTAAGTGTCTACTGAGGAACCTGAACAGATACCAGATGTGAATTTTAGATGCGTGTGCAGTTGGCAATAGCTTGAAATCCACCACTGGATTTTAAGGCATCTGCTGTTGGTGGGAGGATCAATATCTGATGATTACACTTTCAGCCATCCAGTCCTTCCTGTAATCATGCACACAACCTCTGAGTCACTCAGCCTCCTGTTATAACAAATTCCTCAAGAGGCCTCTTGTTGCACAGGGCTGATCTGATGCCTTATTGATGGTGACTGCCTCCTTGTTCTATAAGCAAGACTGTCAGAGTCATAAGCTCATCTCACAGAGCCCATGGCTGAGCAATGAAATAAATGCACAGAAACTACAGAAGCCTGTAGATTGTGTTGTGTTCAGGCTGGGGGAGAGCTCTGCATTTAGTCTGAGCTAGCTGAGCAGAGAGGCACTCTTACACTGCCTCTTACACAAGACTTAAACTTGCCCTTGGTGATGCTCCTTCCCTCCACTGACCACAGTGGGACTGAACTGATTTAAACTGGACAGCTCACTTAAAGCTATCTGATGTTCAGTGAAGCTCAGTCCATCTGCCACTGAAATCCTTGGGAAATGATAATTATGTTGTGCTGATGACTTCAGTGTCAGGTAAACTGACATTGAAAAAAAAGAATGAATTCTTAGTCACCTGCAAGTTCACCAAGGCTTTCTCAGGAATTAGATGTCATTCTCCTAGCAAATTTCTGTGATAAAGCCCTTAAAACTTCTTCTGAATAAGTCATACCCTGCAGGCTGTGATGGCCTCAGCACATCCCTTAAACTGCCAGGACTTCAGGGAGAGACCTGGATCTGTCAGGCAGGACAATGGAACCAATTTTTCAGCATGTTGGCAGAAACTTACACAAAATGTTTTATCGAAAATGTAAGGATTGAGGAAGCTGAAAGAAGCTCTGTAGGATTGCTTTGAGCTTCAGCTGAATACATTTACATATGATGATGTACAGGTATTCCATGAGAGTGCCCCTTCAAGCATCCACAGCAGCAGAATCCATTAGGTGTAGCAGAGGCAACCTTTCCACTCTGTGGCCTTATTTTAGGCACTGTTGGTGGTTAGCATTTTTGTAAATGTGCACAGCTGGCAGCCAGATGCCTCTTTGAGGGCAGCCCTTCAGTCTGGCTGAGTGACACTTGTGTGGGCAGAGCTCCTGCCCTCCAGCTCTTGGGCTGCATAATGGAATGAGGAAGGGTGAAGTAGCTCCATTTTATTTGTAGAGGTTGGAGGGAGGTGATTCTGTCGTCTGTGTGAGCTGAGAGGCCTGTGTTCCCTCTGTCTGGCCTGCCATGGGAGGGCAGGAAGTCTCAGCAGGGCTGTTGGTGCTCTGGGGAACGTGAGAAGCTGTTTCCTCACCAATCCTCCCCGCTCCAACACATCTTCTGCTTGTCCCTGCCACAGCTGTAACTGTCTGCAGACTCTCTGCTTTCTGGAGCACGAGAATTAAAGGATAACTCTGTGGAAGTGGAGGTGAGAAAAGCCAGGGAGCCTCAAGCCCACTCCTCTGACTTCTCCCATTCCTGCTGTGCAGCATTTTCTGCCCTTGTGGCAGCCTAAAGAAGCAGCAAGGCCATTCTGCCCTGCCTGGGGGGGACTGCACAGAGCAGGATGCCACACCTGCAAGGCTGGCACTGCCATCTGCACCTGTTTCTTTTATGGTGACAAAAAGTGGCATTGTCAAACCAAAAGACACAGCTCTCTGGAGCCTGACAGCTGGCTAATCATCTAGCTACGTGTTTAGGCATACATTTGCTAGGCTGCTGAACACAGTTACAAAGGGCTTAAGAAGCTGATTGATTACTTGTAATCAGTTTATGTTTTAAAATGGTTAATTCCACTTACTGGTTACCTTTAATTAATATTGAAGTAGTGCACACTTTATTCATTTGCATACTGCCATCAAAGCCAGTGTAATTGCACTGCAGCATGCAATCTGGGTAGTTATTTCATCTTTTTGCTAGTATTTTATTCTTTCATGGGCATCAGGAAGCACTAAGTGTGGCTGACTCCAAGGGACATATTCCTGTAGCGTTCTGGGAATGATAAAAATCCTGATTGCTAAAACCAGGGCCTTTGCTATGGCTGAGAATCTATCCCAAATGGTTTTTAAACAGTGGGTTGGGATGCTCTGGGGGGCACTGCAGGTGCCAGGGGTTGTTAACACTCACCTGATGATGGACCAGATGCAAAGGCAGGACTGTCTTCTGCGAGACATCCACGCCCTGGTTCTTCTGTCTTTTCAAACACTCTAAGTGAAAAGATGCTCTTCGACCTGAAACAGCAACACACACAATGTGTCCATCACTCATAATACACTACAGGTGATCTGTTTTCAGTTTCTTTTTGTGCAGCAAACCCACACAATGTGTCCATCACTCATAATACACTACAGGTCATCTGTTTTCAGTTTCTTTTTGTGCAGCAAACCCACACAAGCTTTAGGCTCTGTCTGCTTCCCCTCAACACCGCGCCCTCTCCAAAGCGAATCTGCGGGAAGCGCGTCCCAAACCAATCAACTTCACCTTCCAAGCAAGCTGTAAGGTAGGATCCTGAGCACTTTTCTCCTCTAAAACACGTGCAGCTGATTTTCCTCGTGAGCAGTGGCAGTGCTCTCAGACCTCAGGGGCTGAGGCAGAGCCGTCAGCAGGACGGTGGCAGCTGAGACTCTGGCGCCGTGCTGGCTGCGCACGACACACGGACGGGGACATTGTGCTGCTCAGGTGACACTGGAGCCCTGCTTGCACGTGGTCTGTGTCCCTCAGCTGCCAGCCATGCCACACTTTATGTGTCTATAGCAAGGTCAAGGGCAGCTGAATTCATCAATGGGGGATTTACTGGTGAATGGGAGGTGACTTAGACCAGACACGAAGCATTTTCAGAATTGGAAGGAAGGGAAGAGGAAAAAAAAAAAGATTTTAGGGGGAACTGTTGAAACAGTCACATTGTTGACTCACTATAAAATTAAACTTCCCTTCTCTAAATATTAGAAAGGTACTCCCAATCAGGAGTGTAAAACTACTGAAAAGTATATTTATGATCAAGTGCTTTACTTCTGAAAAATGGCAAATAAATCCAGTATTAAAGATTTAATACGTGACACGTGAAATATTTTGTGGTCTTGTTTGATTTTGTTGACATTTTTCTAAAGAAGGCAAGAAAATTAGAATTCTACAAGTAGTAAGTATCTATAATATTGGCTTGTTGAGAAAAAGCCTTCTCAGGGTTGGAGAAAATATGTTATAACCCAGAGAATGTATGTTAGAATGCAGGTTAAAGTATTTCATCTTTCTAGAGAAAAATCCCAACTAGTAAAGTGAGAATGACATCAGTATATAAATATTCACTAGAATGTAGTTACTGAAGCATTGTATCAAGGGCTGACTGCCTTACAGATAGATATAGAAGTTGTCATTGCCTAATATTTTAAGATTTGAAGTAAATGTTATTAGAACACTGAAGCATCCTGAAGGATTTGAGTGTAGCCTCACTTTAAACATGACACTACCTAGTCTGTCACTGTTATTCTGTAAAAGTGTATTTTATGCACATGATTCTTTTTAGTTTCTCCCTTCAGTGCCCTTTTTCACCCCACCAATACTCAGAAAAAGGCTGAAAAACGTTATACTTGAAAGAGTTAATTTTGTCACAGACTCTCTTGATACTTTCATAAAACCGTGTGATTTATGGGTTTCATCTGGCAGCGAAACACTTGAAAATCTCCAGGTACAATTAAAGCAGAAGGCAAATTTATGTTTTATTAACTTAATCTGACATTCAGTGTGTTCCTGGTAGCAGACAAAGGAGACAATCTCTCATTTCTCCTTGCTGAATACACACAGAGCAGAACACTGTGGACTCCAGGCTCACCCATTCGGTGACTCCCTGGTGATTGTTTAGAGAGTCTCCAGCTCTCAGATAAACTGCCCTAATTCATAGGCTGCCTTCATCAAACATCACAGGCACTGTCCAAACAGCCACAGGTTCATCTGCTGGCCTAGTGTGAAGCCAGCAAAGCCTGATCAGGATTGTCTGCACGCCCTGGGATTCCTGAATACAGCAAACGGCAACACCCGTGCCCACACAGGCTGGGATTCCTCCTGGGAGATGGGAGAACTCCATCAAGGCAGAGGAAACACAGCCCAGCCCTGCTGGGAGGTTACCTAGAGCTGAGGAGCACAGAAACCCTTTCTTCGGAGAGGGCCGGGTGTCCTCTCCTTTGTTGTTTTCTGGCGGAGTGAGTTGTCTGTTTTCATCATCCTGGTATGCAAGCCTGGGAAGGAGAGCAGAGGGATTTAGGAAAGAAGCTGATATTAGGCAGAAGAAGCCCTCTTCCAGCAAGGAAGCCAGGAAGGTCATGCCAGCAAAGGGATGCAGGAGTGAGCTAGCTTCAAACTATCCAGGAGCAGTAACAAGAGACCGTGAGACAGAGAACCCTCTAAAAATGAGCTCTGGGAACATCAGGAGGTAGAAGTGAATGTGGGGGGCAGCCCTGCAGATCCAGATGTCTCATTCTGAGAAGGAAAATCTTAGGTGAAAAATATCCTCTTCAATGTTACTTCAAGGGCTGAACAGCATTTTTAAAAGAAATTATTTTCTCATATTTGAGTTGTGTAAAATTTTCTGACTTTCTCCCATAAACTGAAATTTTTGTAGAAAAATGTCACCTCTTCCCACCTCTCCCCCTTAATTAAAAAAACCACCCAAACACCTTGACTAAAGCTGCAAAGCTCACATTTCGGTAGAGAGCAGACTTGGTTCACTACAGTACTCAATGTCTTCATTCAAATTTTCATCATAAGTCTCATCCTGAGACACTTCCTCTTGGCAAACAATTGCCAGCTGGCTGTCTCTGGAACTGGAGCTAATGAGCAAAAAAGACAAGTCAAGATATGGAGATGGTAAAGACAACCTGTTACAAAGACAAAAATGACAGGCTCCATCTGTCTCAGTTTATTATAATGCTGAAGAGCCATCATAGGAAAATCAATGACTGAACAGAGCTACAGAGTTCACAAATACAAGAAACAACCTTTGTGTGTGTCCTCTTTCACAGGATGAGTTTCTTAAACCAACACTGTAAATGTATTTTGTCATTTGTGACTACCTGAACTCTGTTAATGTGCACAGCACATTCACCACATTTCCAAAATAAACCTCACTGAGCTCAAAGTTAAATCTGAGATGGGCTCTCAGGAATAAGCTGTTTCCCTTGTTGCAGAAGACTTGGTTATGGATTTCAGAGAAGCCTCCTGGACACTTCCCATCTCTGTGATGTGTGGCCTTTGCCTCCCAAATCCCTCATTCTGTACCAGCTCTGCCTCCTGGTCACGTTCTCATCCTTGCTGGCTTTTCCACCTTTCATCCCTTTTCTTTAACTGCAGAATGTTTCTACTGAATTCACTAGGATCTATTCAAAGCCTTAGGTGTGCCAGCCCTTAATTCCCTGCTTGCCTCCTCTCAGTCCCTCTGTTTTACATTTCATCACTTGTATTTTGCTTTATTTGGACTTTTGTGTTTTCTGAGGACTAAAGTAAAATCTGTAGGCAGCTTGAATCTTTGATTTATGGACATGGAGGTATTGGAAACAATTTCAGTTTCTTACTAGAATTTGCAGAAGAGAGTAGGGCGGCTATTTTTTTTTTTCCCCATCTTTTAAAGACTGGAGAAGCAACATTATCTTGTCATTTGGTTGAAGCAAAAACCATTGGGAGAAATGTGGGTATGCATTGTGTGAAAGAACCTTTAGGACAGTGCTGCAGTGGCCTTCCTCTTAAATGGGAGCCAAATAAACCTGCTAAGGTGCAGAGGGGAAAAAATCAGTACCTGGCATCTCCTCCTGTTCAAGTGTCTGTGTTTAGCCAAAACCACATGGAATTTTTGCATGAACCTGCCAGGGTGTACTTCACTCTGCTGTGATCAGAGAATGTGTAGCTGTGTGAGCCCAGCTAGAATCTCTAAAACCTAGAAAATGGCCAGAACATGGATCACTGCTTGCCCTGAGTTGGGAGCATTTTCTGGAGCTGTCATGGTGATCAGTATCTCTATTTCAGCCCTGCTGACACAAAAAAGGAGAGCTGATATTCAGCATTAATGGGAATTTGGAGTTTGAAGAGGATGAAGAGGGTGGGTCTTACACCCAGGCAGCATGAGAGGGGTATGGAGAACACGTACCGTCCCAGTGCCTCGTAGTAATGTGTCCTAATTCAGGGAACATGCCCAGGGAAGCAAGGAGAGAAAAGAACACCCTGTTAGCAGTGTCACAGCACGAGTCAGCAGGGAGGAGGGCAGATGGGAACACATGAGCAACTCCTGTGGCCTCCCTCAGGAAGGCATGAAATAGAAAAACCATGGGACTCTTCACTTGGGCAATCCTGCACCCACTGAAATTCCTTTTATTGGCCTATTCTGTCCTTTCTGGGGGCAGCATTTGGCCACCTTTTCACACTGCTCACTCTCTGCACTGAAAAAAATAAAATCATCCCCTTCCTGCTGTTTCTGAAAGTATTAAAAAAAAGCCCCCCACTGAGAAAAATTATATTCCTTTTGTGTTAGTCATCTGTGTGCAGAGAGCCTGAAAACTATCCAGAGAAGGGGATTTTCTTTGCTTTGTTTCTGAGAACCTTGCCTCCCTCCTCCCAGAATGTCTTTGGTGACCTCTGTAGGGATGTGACCTGCTGAATGATAAACCACAGACTTCAGCAAAGCTCCCTGTTGGGTGATTAAGCCATGAAGAGCAGTGCCCTTCAGTTACCAGTTGGTAAAACACCTCCCTGTGGTGAAGGAGGGATAAATAAACTTCCCTTTGGCTCTTACAGAGGTTTCTTCCTGAAAAAGCCCAAAGAAGTGTGTTGGTCAGTAAGAGCTGGTGCTTTGCAGTGGCCAGTTGGTGTGTTTCTGTTGCACTGTGAGTTTTTGGAGAACCAGAGGGCTCAATCCAGGCCTGGGCAGTGTCTGGGAGTGACTTTGGCTCGGCAGCAGTGCTCTGGTGTTTGCATGCACCTTCCAACACCTGCTCCCCTGGCTCCCTCTCTGCTGGGACACTCACCTTTTGGATGGGAGTTTCCAGGGAGCCTCCTGCACACAAATGGTGGGTGACAAGGGGGTCCCATGGCCTTCCACCGTGCTGACAGTGCTGGGGTAGCTGGGTGGGCTGGGGAAGCGACACAGGGCGGTGTTGTTGGCGTTGTTGATGTTGGCATTGGAGCCTGAGGATGAGTAGCTGCTGGGAGTGAAGGTGGAGTCCACCAGCTTCTCGTGAGATGGAGACTCGGTGTCTCCGTGGTTGTTGCCAGACTTATTGATGTGCAAAGGTCTCTGGGTGGTGAATGTCTGGGGGAACCCGCTCCTGCCGTCGCTTTGGTAATAGCTCACGTGGTTTCCAAACAAGCCTCCAGCTCTCTGTCAGAGAAACAGAAAGGATTTTCCCTTTGTGAGCGAGTTGTGCAAGGCTGTTCTCCTGCTTAGATCATTCTTGAGGAAAAAAAGTGAGGGTCAGATGATGGCACTGGTGCTCTCCCTTCCAGAAGGCAGCGTGAGGACATCCCTGCCACAGAGACCAGGCACACACAGGCTGGGGTTTCAGAGAACTGGCAGGTGTTGTCTCTACACCTCCCACCAGTCCTGGCAGTCCAGGATGGGGTATGCATGCAAGAACCAGGTAGCTGCTGTCTGGTTTTCCCAGCACAGTTGCACAGAAACATTTAGATATGAGGGGGAATTTGAGAAGAGCACCAGAAACTATTAAGCACCTGGAAGAGGAAATGAAATTTTATGAGCCAGTTATGTACTGTTTAAATGATGGGTAATGAAAGGGACTGACAGTGTTTTTCTGTAAAGAAAGGAGGAAAATGCCAAAGGAGAGGAAAAGTTACCAAAGAAAACAATTATAAGAAATAGAAATGAAATAAGAAAGAAAAGATTTATATAAGTTGCTCAGAAAATTTTCTCCTTCCATAGGAGCACGACTGGATCCTTGTGTACTTTTTGGAAGGATGCTGCCAGTGCCACTGGAAAGAGTGAACAGAACAATAAAGTGTGCCTGGCTGCTGCTCTGCAGACTGCAGGATGTCTGCACTGATCTGCTCTTTAATTTACATTTCATGAGGGAATCTTCCAGGGGGAAGTTTCCCTTGAGAGAAAGAGAGAAGGAATTGGGATAAAACTGTGCAAAGACCTTAGGACCTAGTTCCACCACTGTTTTTTAGTGAGATCTACGAAACAAGGAGGGCCCAGCTGAAACGCAGAATGAACAAAAGAGAATGGAGCACTCTGGGCTCAGCCTCAGCTCGCAAACTTGTTCAGGACCTACCCGGAAGATATCATCTTCAGAGGCAGCAGAAACAGCTTCTTTCATGGCCTTGTCCAGCTCCTCTTCAGCTGTCAGGTCTCCAGAAATTGCTCGTCGGATCTCCGGCCCGATGTCGTGGAGTGTGCGCAGACCAGCCTGCAAAACAGCAAACTATAGAGCTTCATATCTCCGAGTGGGCACAGGAGAGACAGCAGCATTGCCACTTCTTCCTAAACACTATGGAGCCCCTTTAGCTAACAGAGCACCCCCAGCTCCTAGAGAAACACCAACAAAGCCTGTTCTTTCATCTCCACCTCAGAGAAACTCTTGGCGATACAAACCAAGGAAGGTTTGTTGCTAGTCCTTGGCTCCATCACTGCAGGACACAGACATAAATCCACAGGCTTGACTGAGCAGGCCTGTGTGCTTTCAACTCTGGGTTCTCAGATCCACAGCCAGAAGCTCTAGAGCAGCCACAGTTCCAGCTGAACCATCTAACTCTGGTGCCTTAGAAAATCTCTTTGAATTGGCAGCTTAAATATGGATTTAACAACTTCTGGCATTTGGACCTGCAAAGTCCTCAAACCCCTCACTGATTGGAGTCTGTTCCAAAGAGTCCATCCAGGGTGGTAAGCTGTGGGTGTACCAAGGCCTCATTCTGTGTTTGTGCCCACATCACAGCACTTTTCAGCTTGCTGAAACTCCAGAGTCACCCTTTTTTCTCAATGTATCCTCCAGGGACATAAATAGTACTGCTGGTACAGTCAATGGGCTTTTCTCTTTCTGCCACACAGCCTGGTAATCTACTGAATGAACATGTAAGACAGTGGGGAGCAGATCCCAGTCCTCACAGTCCAGTCCATTGGATGGCCTTGGCATCCAGGTGTGCTTTTTGTTTTTTCAGTGACTTTGCCTCCTGGCAACATGCACTCCTCAGAATGGGTCAAATGTATGCGGGAGTAAGCAAATGTCTGCAGGACACTTCATACCAGTTCTCTAAAAGGATCCCAAGTTTCAGATGTTCCTGGCAGACTGCTAAACTGTGATTATGCCTCACCTGTGCCTTCCATTTACAGAGCTGAGAGACCACGGCACACAGGTATTTCTCCAAAAGGATTGGTGTGATAATTCAAGGGGTCTACGAGCATCTTCCCAGTAGGGACAGCCCATTTCCACCCCTAGAATGGTTGAAGAGGGCAGTGGGGCCACCCCTGTCTCTAGTGTACCCCCCATGTCCTCTCGGGGCCCGCTTGTCACCTGTAAGGACAGCGCGTTGCGCTGCGAGGGCTTCCCCACCAGCCCCTGCTCCTTGCGCTTCTTGAACTTCCGGAAATACTCCTGGATCAAGAAAGTGGCGTAGAACTTCCCCACGGTCACCTCGTCATCTGCAAAGTGGGGGAGTGGAAAAAACAACTTCAGTCAGATGATTTATCAGTGGTTTCGCTCACGTAAGCCGTGCAGAAGCGCTGGGGGCTGCAGCCCGTCTCTGCTTTGCATCAGGATGCAGGGCTGAAGGAAGGGATTGCTCTGCAGCCAGGGGTTGTTGTGTAGTCAGGGGGAGAGGTGTATGGGAACTGACAATGGTCAAATAAGAGATTTTTAGGCTTCAGGCATTAGCTTGAGCTTGTGGACATGGTTTTCTCTGAGCCTGAGAGAGTTTTCGGTCTGTCAGTAGCCGATCTGTTTCCCAAGGGAAAGTGTTTTGGGAAACTTTTCTCTCTCAAGGACTTTTTTGTAAATAGGGTTTTGGTTCCCAAAACACTGGTGTACAGATGTTCTGAATGTGTTTTTGTCTTGTCCCACCAATGGGATGAGAGAGGTGTTGTTCCTTTTACCAATCATGTTAAACCTGTATCAGAACACCTTATAAAAGGGTTATAAAACCCCAAAAGAAAGGCTTCTGCCTCCTTGGGATGAGAAACCTCAGCTGTTGTGATTAAATCCATGCTTCTATTTCATGTCCACTAGCGACATGAGCCTGTGTGAAATAAGTCACACAACTTTCTCACTCTGGCCTGAAAAAATCATAAGGAGAAATCCAAACAATCCTTAGAGAAGGAAATCAACCTTTGCAGAAGTTGTTTGTGCCTTGTTATTTACTTGTAAGAAACAGTCAGGGAGTGTTGTTCCTAATTGTGCAATGATGGTGATGTCTTGATTTCATGACCAATGAGAGTTTTACCTTTTTAGACCTTCTGGGATCTGTCTATGAAAGAAGATCTGGAAGAATAAAACTTGCTGTGTTGTGAAAACAAGCTAGAGAGTCTGTGTTGTTTCTTTTGCTGTTCCTAATACAGTGTGACAGAGGTGCAGGTGGCATTGGGGCAGACTGGCTCTGGTGGTGGTTAACCACAAAGGATCTGGTTATAGCAGCACCTCCCAGTCTGGGTCAGCACATGATGCTGTCTTGTGACAGCCTGGTGTAAGATTTACTCACAGGCTGGCTGGCCAGCAGCATCTGACTGATCATCCATTCCAGGCCAGCTCTGACCCTTCTCTGCACTGCAATTCTGTCCCTTTGTGCCTAACATGGGTGTGAGTGAACAGAGAAGATCATCCCTTCCCTGAAATGCAGTCACACACCATAAAAGTGGTCAGTCAGCCAAAAATATTTTTCTCCAGGTAGCTCTCCCTCCTTTCTGCAAACCCACTGGAAATTTTAGAAGATGTGGTCCACTGACTTCAGAGCAGGCTGAGCAAGGCTCAGGACCTGGCTGCACCTGTTGGCTGACTGCCAAGGGCTGCTTTGTGCCCATGGGGACACCTGGAAAGCCTGGAATGCCATACAGGGTGCCTATGCACCAACTCCTATTTATGCACATTTTTTTTTCTTTCCCTGATTTCTCAGCAGTAAGAACAGCACATTCATGTTAGTATGGAGCAGACCTCAGCCTGATGAAATGCAGAAAGCTTGTAGAAGAAAGCCTCTCCCCCTTATTCCTGATGATCACAGGGTGCAGTAGGACAGGACAGGTGTGGGACAAACCCAGAGAGATTCAGAGACAAGATCCTGCACTCACCACCTGCAGGAGGCACCACCTGGTCCAGCAGCTTCATACTGGTGCGCTTCCAGATTTTCTTAATTATTGCTCTCAGCTCTTCGTTGGCTTGCTCCAGGTTACCTGCAGGGTGAAAATCATCAGAGACAGGAATTAAGCAGACCCTGCAGAGGAGCAATTTAATGTCTGGCATGGAAATCTCAGGAGGTAAATATCAGAGTGTTTTCAGTAGTGGAAAGTTTTGGACCAAGAGATGCTCAGACCATTCCTAAAGCTCCCTCACAGCAAGAGGTCTTCAGTTCTAAGAACAACCTATAGGGTTTTTTGCAGTCTTCTTCCTAAATATGCATAGTCATCCCTGGGTAGGGAGGTGACTTTCCTTCTGGATACCCATTTCCTCTCAAATGAGTCACCTTCAGTTTTATTTCTTGATTTATGTACATTCAAACCCCTCTCTTCTCTCTCTAGGTGCCTGAAACCAGTATCTTGTCGTCCTAAAGGTGCTGTTCCTGCAGTTTTTATTATTTCTCCCCTGCACTAAGGCTCCTGAGGGTGTTGCACAGGGCTCTGCATGGCAGTAATTCTTCCAAAAGGATGCAGTGAAGATAGGGACACGGAATAACCTGCTGAGGATGCAACACATGGACAGCATCAAAGGCAGAAATCTCCAGGGCTAATTCCAAACTCCTTCCCTGACCACTTAAAAAATCCTTCTAAGGCAAGAAAGAAAGCAGTTTGAGCTTCAGATGGTTTCCCAGGAGTTCACAGGCAATGACTCCGAGAGTTTGAGGCTCAGACAGACAAGAAAATTGAGTTCTGAGAATTGAGGTCTTTGTTTCATAAGATTCAAGATGTTTTACAGGGATTGTGGGTGGCTTTTTCCTCAGGAGAGTCTCTTGTGCTACAGTCAAATTCTGCTTAGCACAACTTTCAAGGCCCTTAATATATTTTTTTTCCATTTTACCACTGTTTTTTGGGCTCAGCTGGAACTGTAAGGTAGAGTTCTGCTGGCCTCTGCTTCCCCAAGCCTGAAATGTAATGCAGCCACTCCTGAGGCAGAGATGTTCAGCTGTGAATCACAGAGCTACACTCTCTTTTAATGCATCTCATTAATACATGAAGCCAGATTTTGACTCAGGACCAAGATCTTTCATTACAGCAGGTGACAGAGTGCAACAAAGAGGACAAGCTGAGCCCCAAATCTTGTCTGCTTTTCCTGCAATGTACCTGCTGTCTATGCAAAGTTATTAACAGTCCCTTTACCTTTCATCTGCCTTTACAACACCACAGCTACTACAATGTAATGTTAACTCATGCTAATGGAAGCACAGGAGGAGTTTTTGTGAGATGAGACCCTCGAGTCCAAGCTCTTTCTTTTCCTTTGGACTGGAAGATCAGTGGCAACAGCAGTCAAGAAGTGGCTCTGCAGACAGGGTACAAAGAGAAGGGTTCTTTGCCCTTCATCCTTCTCTTAATTGCTGTGTGAGCAGACATTGATCTAAAACTTTAAACTTTCAGACCACTGTGAAGAACGTGATCAATAATTTGAGATGATACTATAGGAAGCACTGGCTTCCCAGGCAGTGGAAAACACTGTGCTTTCCCTAGAAGATATTATTCCTCCAAACCTCTTTACATAGCTTTTCCCCTGCCATGTGCTGCATTTGAGTAATTTGGATAATTTTAAACAAGATGTCCCTGTTGGTTTATTCCAGCTCAGGACACCTTGGCATGAACACCTTTCTATCCTTGCAGCCAGCAAGCTTCTCACCTTCTGTCTTGATCCTCAGTGCAGTTCTGACCAGTGCAAAGAGAGTGGCGTTGAACATGACGGTGCCATCGCTGTTCAGTGGCATGTTCATGGAGACAAGGCGCTGTGGGATGAAGAGAAGAAAGACAACAGTCACTCTGCCACACATGGACTGAAGCACGCTCTTCCTTACGTCCTCGTGGAGCCCTCCAGACCTGCCATCCCTTCTATGTGAGTATCCATGGCCTGTGGATTAGTTACACAACGAGAAAACCCCGTTATTTCTACCTCTCCTAATCCATCTGGAGGTGGGGGTTTGACAGTGCAAGCAGATGTGTGTTCTTGGTACTTGAGAGCTGTATTTAGCACAGATGTGCTCTCCTCACCAGACAAAAGGCTGATGGCCCTGAGAAGAGCACAACCACCCTGCTGGTGACCCTCCAGCCCTCCACTGGGTGGTTTTAGCCCAGAGGAGCTGGTGAGAGGCACAGGGCAGCCCAGGGGTTGTTCAGACACGCTGTTGCTGGCTCTGCCTGGTGGGCAGCGAGCTGGGATGTGCCCAGTGCGTGAGACAGGGTCAGCTATTAAACACCACAGCAGCTGTTGCGTGTAAAACAGCTGGTCTGGTGGAAGGCAGCCCTGCCCAAGCGTGAGGGTTGGAATTAGGTGGCCTTTAGGGAGCCTTTCAGGCCAAACCATTCTGTATTCTCTGAGTGATTCTCTGGTTTAGCTGCTGTGAGCCCCAGCCTCCCTCCCTTACTTTGCAAGCCACGCGGTGAGGGCAGAGCTTCCCGAAGCCCAGCGGGGGCTGGATCCGCCGGAGCAGCGTCACCACATCCAAGTGTTTGATCCGTCCCCTGAAGAAGAGAGCACAGTGAGGGCTGCATCCTGACCAGGGCTGACCTGCAGAGTGCAGCTACAGCTAAAAGTGCCACTAAGGTCCCTCCAGCCTTGTGCTGCTGCTCCCTGTAGCCCAGGCTTTAAGTTATTATTTCAGGCCTCTTGCATTTGGTGCCTTCTGCAGGATTTGCCCAGCACTCATGTAATTTCTACTAATGCAGAAATCCCAGCTGCCAGTCATGCTTGAGACAATACTTGCAAGAATTGACCCCAGCCTTTTCAGTGTTGCAGTTTCTTAGTGCATGATCAGACAATTTGGGGTTCTCTTCCCATCACTGACCTGCTCAAAATAAAAATCTCCTTATTTACTTGTTGGGCTGAGGCCTATAGCAGGCAGAGAGGTTTGTATTTTTTTATTTCCTCTCACATAGATAGCCCCAAGCCACTGCCTTTTAATACTTGTTTATGCTTTGGGCTGTCACTAGAGTGAGCACAAAACAAAGTACTGATCTTCCTCCACAGGAGCAGTCAGGTTTCTCTTAAGTTTGGTAAATGGCACCTCAAAAGAAGAATTCTCTCATGGAAGGAGGGAAGTTACCAGAGCCAGAGGAGGGGTGTGGGACATGGATGGGGAAAAGGAATAAAAGAGCCCCCCATTTATGAGCAGGGAGGAACAGGATGCCACCTGAACTGGGTGGCTAGCTATTATTTGGCTTCAGCCACCGCAGTCTTGCAGTCGAGCAATCACAATTAATAGCATGTTTTGTTAATAAATGGTGTATTTATTAGAAGTCTGTGCTTATTCTCCATCCATATTAAGAGTCCCCAGCCCAGGAAGTCACCATGAAGGGGAAGAAGTGTTTAAATTCACGTTTCACTCTCCCAGTGTGACACACCCTCACACATGGCAGAACCTGAGCCCAGACTAACCTCGACACCATGTCTCCTAAAGAGATCTGCTTTTACTTCACACCCAAATCTCTCTCCAAGGCTTTTGCATTATGAAGGGGGCTTTGCAATTACAATTGTCAGCTGTACAGTAATGCCACAGGGATCTAAATGCACTTTTTAAGCCTAAGCATGTGTCAAACAGAGCATATAATACCGAATGTCAGTTAAGCCCTCATGTGAGTTGTTGTAGTGTAGCTTTAAATCCCTGCAAGGCTGTTATTGTGAATAGCCCTGCAGACAATGTGAGTGTGCTGGTTGTGATGGGCATAAATGACACATGAAAAAACAGACATTTGAGCACAGCAGGTCTGCTCTGGGTACAAAGTCAAGCAGAAGAGCGACAGTTCAATATTCCAAACAAATACAATAATAAACCAAGCCTCTAATCACCTTTTCTCCATCTCCTGCTGGCCCTCACTAAGTCTACATCTCCCCTATAGGAAGTAACACAATGGTCTGACAGGTAACAGTGCAGCCTGAGTGCTGAGATTTCTGTATCTTTGCACTTTGGGTTTATGGATTCACCAGCAGCACCTTGTGGTGATATCCATTTTAGGAGTTTTGTACAAAAAAATAAAAAAGATAAAAAATGCAGGAGGAGCATGGCACTTACTGCACTGAGTCTAGAGAACAGAAAATAATGGGCCTGTTCTCCTGAGGAGCTCTGATATCCAGGCTGGGTTACTTACTTAGCTTCAGGGTCATACTCTGCCCAGATCCTTTTAAACTCATCCAGGTGGTGTGGTCCTAAAATGGACCAGTCCCGTGTCAGGTAATCGAAGTTATCCATTATAACAGCTACAAAAAGATTGATGATCTGCAAACAAAGACAGAGATGATGTGATGGATGAGGCAAGGAACAGTAAATTTTACCAGGTTCTCAATTTAAGGTCTGCATTTGGACTCACAAAACTAGGAAGCCATTGGGGTTAGGTTCTTTATTCCCCCATGCCAGCCCCCCAGTTTAAATGGGAAGAGCCCAGAGGTGGAATACTTTCAGCTGTTTACATTTTTCTCTTCCCTGCTAAATGGAAGAGGCACAAATTTGCTGAATTCTTCGATGTGCTGTTGATGCTTTAAGTTTTAGCTTTCATATTTTTTCCCTAGGTGTGTAGGGATATATATATATATATATATATGTCTATAAAATATGAAAGCCAAAACTTAAGGCATCATTGTCGTGGCTTTTTTTTTATTTATCTCTGCCTTTGCCTGGAAGAACGGGGTGGGATTTATCTTTGATAGCCAGCGGGGCTGAGATAAAAGCCTTTTCTTCTGGCCCAAGACCAAAACTTTTAGAATGCTGCTGCTGGTCACTGGGAGAGTTTTGGGCACCGCTGCCAGCTGCAGAGCGTGTGCTGTGGCTCTGAGCAGCGCCAACACGGAGCAGATGCAAGTGGGATATGTGTATTCTCACAGTCATTGCTGCTGGCAAGGGAGGAAAAAGCTGCTCAGCAGCCAGAAGGAAGGTAGGAGGGAAGGTGGGAAGTGTGGCTGAGGCGTTGCTAGCCTCAGCACAGCCCACAGCACGCTAATTTGGTTTTCTCATTGAGGGGGAGATAGGGGGAAGAGCGCTCCTTTGCTCTTGGAGATCATTCTTGTCCTGTGCATTGCTGACATCTGGGCAAGCAGAGGCTCAGTCTGACAGAGGGAAGGGTTGGGGAGGGTGGGCTCACCAGGAAGGCACAGAGCATGTAGAAGCTGATGAAATAGAAGACGGCGAAGCTGCTGCCACAGGAGTGATCGGCTTCCGTGGAGTTGGCCGGCTCCGACTCCGGGTCACACTTCTTGTCCGGGAGACATGCCAGCATGATTTCCTGCCAGGCCTCACCTGTGGCACACCTGGGCAAGGCAGAGGGCAGGGGAAGACAGCAGTGACCTTGGATGTGACGGGGACTGGCATGTTAGCAACCTGTTCCTGATCCCATGAGCAGTAATGGGAATTTTTGCCACTGAGGTCAATTAAGAGCAAGTTAGGTCGATGGCTTTGACATTTCCTGGCATGTCCTGCTCCCCTGTTTGGCTTTGTTGCCATTATCAGCATGCCATTTCTGACTGGATTTGACTGCTGTGGGTATGGGGCTCTCATGTTCCAACCAGAATCATGGATGTGTGTGTGTGTGTGTGTGTGGCATGACTGTGGATTGCATCTAAAATAGTCTTTCAAAATTACGACAGTGTTGAATTTGTGCCAACTTCCCACCCCTTCAGCACCCCTCCCTGGCTCCAGCTGGAGCAGGATGATGTGATAAGCTGAGCTGGGCATGGCCATGCCTAAGCTCGAGTTCATTGTGTCCCTTTCCCTGCTAGAAGTCACACTGGCCAGATTTGAACCAAAGAAGTTTTTGATGCATATCAAGACTGGAGAGTGCTGGAGGCTGCCTTCCTTCCATGTAGGAGGATCTGTGTCCCTCCCCAGCACTGAGAATTACCAGGGTGAGCTGCTGGGGTACAAGAGACTTCATGGACTGGTCATTCCACCTGACATAATTCCCCGCTGAAGGACAACACGTCACTACTCACCTCGGGAGCATGACACGGTGGAAGGAGATAAGCTGTGCCCGAGAGCAGAGGAATCCTGCTCCCAGACTGACACAATCCAGAGCTGTCATACACCCACCTGAAAAGCAGCAGCACTGCCTGGGGGAAGGTCTGGAAGTTATTGTTGCGGTTGATTTCTGTGGTGTCGTTCAGCGCGATTTTACCGAACACCTGGCAGAAAGCAGACATCTTTTCAGATTAGCCCTGAAAAAACCCCAAACCTCTTGTCACCCGTAGCTCTCGGCCTCACCCTGACCCTGATATTTAATGGAATCTGCTCTTCTATTAAAAGAAGCTTTTCTGTGTGGCTTTCATATTTGTTGTTGCTTCCCCGGCTTCTGCTTTATCACCAGAAAAGCGCTAATTTTGCCGTAAGAGGCATTTTGTGTCAAAGCAAGGTGTCCTTCCTTATTCATACACTGAATACCTGACACGGGGCCTTGTTTTAACCAGCACTCATTTGGGAAGGGAGTCCAGCTGAAAGAAATCAGTAACAGAGAAGAAAAGGCTCCTTCCTTCATTGCTTATCTCTGGCAGGTGGAAATGGCAGCAAAACACCAGCAGCTGCTGAGCCCTGAGCTCCCATCTTTGTTGGGGGCCTTGGACATTCACAAAGAAATGTGAAGTGGATCTGGAATTGTCCTCCAAATGCCTTCTGTAGTCATGCTTGTCAGCAGCAGGTGTTTCAGGGGTCCTCCCAGACTGCAGCAGTGTGAAGATGATGACCAGATCTGCCCAGACAAGGATGCCCTAGAGCTTCCTCCTGTGCCACACCAACTAGTTCATCCAGCCACGGCACAACCATCAGCAAACCTTTCTAGGGGCCTGTCTTTGGGTGTGAAGTCCCCAGTGCAGAAGAGTTTCAGGCTTCTTTAAAATAACCTTGGCTAGCTGTGGTAGTTTCAGACCTTGTGTGGCAGCAAGGTCTCTGCACAGCACACTCAGGACTATTTATTCCCCACTGATAACAGCCTGGCAGAGTTCTCGGGGGCTGAGAGCTGTAATCTCTCTGCAGCCAAAACAAGCAGCAGGAACAGAGCAGCTCTGAGAGAGCACCCAGCTTCTTTTCAAGGAAATGTCACTGAGAATTAGCACCCCAAGAGGAACAGTGAGGCGGAGAGGAGCATGGGGACAATGGTGGGAGGGCCTTGGCCAGATGGGAGGGAGGGTCAGCACATGGCAGTTTTCCTCAGGGGTTCCTCGTGGATGCATGGGCCTTCTCCTGCCTGGCCAGCCCCATGCCACAGGCAGCACTGACAGCCAGATTTGAGACAAGGCAGCCCACATTGTTCATTTCAGGCAAATGTAGGTAAGGGAGCTTCCCATGATCTTCCTTTTGACCCTGCATCTTCTCTCACGCACACGAGGCAGCAGCTGCTGTGGTGTTTTGCATGAGGTACCTGGGAGGAGCTGTAAGTGGAGGTTCCTCCCTCACAGCCTCTCCAATCTGTGCCTTCTGGGCCATCCTATGAGCGGCTTCATCCATCAGCATCAACTTGGGTGTTTTCCACTTGAGCACGTTAGCTAGTGAGGCTTGAATGTTGTTACGCTCCAAGTGGTGGCAGTGGCTGACATGAAGTAGTAGTAGGTCTCCTTTACATGGGAAATTCTGATATTTTTATCAGTTCTGCTACATCTAGTCTTTCGTGGTAGCTGCTTAATGGAGTGAGGGATGATTTTCCTTCCCACGTGTCTCTGTGTGTGAGGGAACTCTGTGTGTCAGCATGTTCAAGAGAGAGTAAAATGTCTGAGGTGCCATTTGGACAAAAAGTGATAATCACAGGTCTGTGGGGCTCTGGGGAAACAGGGAAAATGAAAAAAAGTTGGTTTTCTTATTGGAAGACATGAGGGCACAAAGAGACCTAGTAATCCAGATCAATGTGATAGACTGATGTATGATCTTCAGGCTGCTGAGGTGATTCAAACACAGGCTTGAATGTAAGCCAAGGGTTAAATAAGTAACTTAGAACTGTCAGAAAAAGGAGTAAAATTACAGAATAAAGCATCTGGCCCTGGCAGTGCCCTGTAGACCCCATCTGTGTGGGTGCTTGGAAGCCACTTATGCTTTGTGCAGCGATGTAATACCAGCTTAATACTCTGAAGTGATTCTCCGTATGGCACAGGTAATTCTGTAAGATCTTGGCCATCTTAGGTATTAAAGGCAAAACTGGCAAGTTGACAGTATGAGCTTAGAGTAAATGACAGCTGTGATTACTGAGGCTATTGAGATAACCTGTGATAATTCAAGAAAACATTAATTTTATTTTTCACGGTGGGGCAGGGTAGATGGAGTCTGTGAGAACACATGACTATAATAACAGGAAACAAATTAAAACAAGGTCACAGAGGTCAGATGAATTGCATTACAAATTCTGTTGTCACTGTGAAACCAAGAAGCCTGTCATGTTTGAAGACCTCTGGAAGCAATTATGCCGTGCCTTTCTATACCGTGGCCTCTGGTCCCAGATGGATGACTTGTCTGAGAACTTTGATTAACACTGGAGTGGAAAGTGAAGCTTAGCTTGAAAAGCAGCACAGCAAATGAGGCTGGGACTGTCACAGGCTGTGCCTGTACCATGTGCTGTCTTCAATGGTCTCCGTGCAACATCAGTTCTCGCACAGGTGAATGCTCAGGATGATTCCAAACGCATTTTGCAAACTGAGTAAGATGTTGATGCAGCTTCCTGGAGAAACTCTGAGTGTTGGTACATTGGGTCTGATCCCATATTTACCTTCATGGGTGTAGATCAAAAGCTGCTCTTTACAACTCAGTGGAAGTTATGCCAGTGTGAAAGAGATGCAAGAGAACATTTTGGTCTGTTCAGTGCAGCATGGCCATAAGCCCACTTAAAAAACTGTTTTGAACCAACAAGCAAGGCAGTAAATCTCCTTGGTGGATATTCCTTTGAGAATGTGGAGGGCAGGCACCATCTTTTTACTGTTTGCATATTGTTTTCTGTGTTTAAATGGGTCAATACTTTTTTTTTTTTGCTTGCTTTTTTTTCCTGGAGCTTGCTGTGCTGCTGCTGGAAGTACCCAGTCAGAAGATGTCCTCCAGCCGGGGTTAGCTGCCATCTCACTGGGTGAGAACATTGCTGTAAGCCCCCACAACCACACATGGATCTAGTTACCCTCTAAGCCTGTTGCCAGGCTCTAGCAGGAGGAGACAGACACGGCCGAGCTCTTTGAGCATCACTCACCTGCATCCCAATCACAGCGTAGATGAAGAACAGCATCACTATTAAAAGAGCCACGTAGGGGAGAGCCTGCAAACGAAAGAAGAGAAGAGAGCACTGTGTCTCTGCCTGGTTGTGCCGCCGGTTTTGGGGCTCTGTAGTGCGGGCAGGTGGCCACTAGATGCCTCTACAGGCCCACGCTTGGTGGCCCAGCCCAGCCCAGCAGGCTCGGCTCTGTGCCTTGGGGGGATGGATGGATGGAAGGATGGAGCTCCGCTGCCTTCCCATCACTCCCGCCCTTGACCGAGGCAGGAAAGCGAGGCAAAACCAGTGTCTGCACCTGCTAAGCAGGAGGAGAAAGCTCTCACAGCCAGCATGACTCTGGCAATCTGATATTTCCCTGGATCCAGTACGGTGAAATAAAGGGATGCTGGCAGAATCTTAATTTGAGGCTTCTGCTACAATGGTTGGTACCACCCTGGGCAGCTGAGGCAGCATCAGCAGGTTCCCTGCGCAGTGTTAGGTGTCCCTGATGCTGTCTGCCATGCACTGAGTGTCAGTGATAGCTGCTGGAGAGGAAATGCAGAGCCCTGATATGCAGAGCTGCCTCCCAAGTGCTGAGTGCCACCAGCTTCCTCCACCACTGACAGGAGCCAAGGGCTCGGCACTTCACAGGCTCAGGCTTTTGAGCAGCAATCTTTTGAAATGTCTAGCACTCAGACCAGAGGCTTTCAGGACTTGCTTCAGAGGAAATGGGTGGACACATTCACTCTGAAAATGTGAGCACAGTCCCTGATCTAGATGTTGAACACCCAGTTTCCAGGCTATAATGAGCCTACGGCATTATCAGAGGGCTGCAGCACCTCTGCTGTGGAGACAAGCTGAGAGAGCTGGGGCTCAGCCTGGAGAAGGGAAGGCTCCAGAGAGACTCTAGACCACCTTCCAATACCTGAAGGGGACCTACAATAAAGACAGTGAGGAATATTTTTTTCAAGTTTTCATTTTATGCAGTGATAGGAGAAGGGGTGATGGTTTTAAACTGAAAGAGGGCAGGTTTAGATTAAATATTAGGAGGAAATTCTTTACTGTATGGGTGGGTGAGGCATGAACAGGGTGCTCAGAGAAGCTATGGCTGTCTCATCCCTGGGAGTGCTCAAGGCTGGATGGAGCTCTGAACAACCTGGTCTAGTGGAAGGTGTCCTTGCCCATGGCAGAGTGGTTGGAACTAGGTGATTTTAAGGTCCCTTCCAACCCAAACCCTTCTGTAATCCTAAATTCAACACAACTAAATCCCTCAGGAAAAACCTGAGGGAATATTTTCACCGTGGAGATTTGACAAAGATCTGCATAAATAATTTCCAAGAGATCTGAATATTAAAATGGCAAAAAGTAATCAAGTCCTTTAGACAGTGTCTGTAATCATCATCTTGAGTATCAGGACAGATTCCTCTGGCTTCTTAGGGGGCCAGAAAAATCGGTATTTTACCTCACAATGTCACTGAAGAGACCACCAGCTCAGAACTGGGCTCCAAACATTTTGTGATGATTTAGTTGGGACTTGATACACACAATACCTAAAAGTTCCTGGGCCAGTGTCCAGGCAGGACCTGAGGTGTATAACCTTAACAGCACTTCTGTTTTCTGTACTTCTGTTTCTCCCACCCAGATGGGGATGGGAAAGTGTTTTCTCTCCTTTCTGCCTGCTCCTTCACTTCCTTTTCATGTTCTTCTGCTCAGTCCTTTCCACTAATGCCCCTTCCTGCCCATCCCTGCCCCTTGTTCCCTTGCTCCTTGAGCTCTCCACCTCTCATTTTCCACACTTCTGTCTCTGTCCTCCTCCGGCTCTGTCCTTCCCTGGCGTTACCACTTTGTCCTTGCGATTCCCACGGCCCTGCCGTGTCCCCAGCACCCTCTCACTTCCCACTCCTCCCCAGGCTGACCCTGTGGCTGTGTGTGCAGATGGAAACCCTGCTGAGCACTTTCCCACCAGTCTGACCAGTGCCCCAGCTCCTACGTCAGCCCTTCGTGCCATGCCCAGGGCACGTGGAAGTTACCACGGGATCCAGCTCCAGGAGTTCATTGCTTCTTAGGCTGCCCCGTGGGAGCAGAGATGCTTCCTGGAAGCCTGTGGGGACACTGAGGAGCCCGTGCCAAGGTCTGCTGGGATCCCACATTCTGACAGTGGGAGTGGCTGAATTAAACACGGCACTCTGGCTATTCTTAGCTCCCAAAGGAGCTAAGAGGAGTTTGCAAGAGGAGGAGCTTGGAGCAGAGAATTCCATGTTATAAATGGCTTAAGGCTTTCAAGGGAAAAGGCACTTGCTTGCAATGCTGCTTTTCTTTTTTTCCCCCCTCCCCTGCTGGGGAGGATCCCTCTGTACTTTCTCCCAGCACCCTACAACCCTGCCTGAAGTGACTCCCAACCCAAGAGGTCTGAAGGTCACTGGAGGGAAGCACCAGGTGCTCCCTTTCCCATCCATCTCCTCCTCTCCAGCCATGAGCCGTGACCAGCTCAGGGTGAGCTATTGCTGAAGAGGCTGGAGGGGCACAGGGGCAAGGGGAGGAGAAGCAGGAGCTGGAAAGTGTGAGTCTGTCCCCTGAATCAGGGCTGGCTGAGCTGTGCCAAGGGAATCTCATTCCTACGCCTGCAAACAAAATGGTTCCCAGTGGTGCTGCTCAAATAACAACCTGGAAGCTGGCAGCTCCGCAAGCAATGGAAAAAGTCACTGTGGCATGGATGTGTCAGAAGCCTGCTGTGCAGGGTTAGGTCCTCTGGCAGTCAAGGAGTGTGAAAAATGAGTGCTTTGCATCAGCCTGGTGGTCTGGCTACCGGGAGCTGCACTGGAAAGGTCCGTGCTGATCCCTGGCGTGTTACTTCTGCTGAGAAGAGACAGAAGCTGCAATGAGCTGCAGCACTGCAGGCTTTGGTCCCAGCTTGTGTTGCTGCTGGTGAGATTTAAGTTTTAAAGTATGGGTCAGTTCCTTTTCCATCTGAGTCAATACAAAAGCTATTAGCCATTTACAGCCTCGGTCTGAGGGGTTTATAGCTGCTGTTTCAAGACTTGTGTGTTATTCACTAGTTATTCTTTCGTGCTTTTGTCCAGTGGTGTGTTATGCATATTTTCTCATGTTTAGGCCACTATTTGCATTCCTGTGCTGTGTTTCCCTGCCATTTCCTTTGGATATGCCCCAGCTAACATCCAGGTTGTGCTGGTCCAGTAAATCCAGGTCAAGTCCTTTCAAAATGCAGGTATATGTTCTGCATCATCTATAACTATCATTTTACTATATGTGGCTAGGTTTTTTTTTTTCCTAGCAAATAACTCTGGTGTTTCTTTTCATCCACAAGTAGTGATTCTTATCCAGTCTGGTATTCTTCACTTCCTCCTATCTACTCTTTACCTACCACTGAAATGCAACCTGTCTCCAGGGGAAAAAAAGCAGCAGCAATTTAATAACTTGGCATTGTTACCAGCTCAAAAGAGTAGGGCTAAAAAGGTGAATTCTTCCTGGATGAAAGTATGGAGGCCACACACCTCTAGTACTCACTGTAAATCCTCAAAACAAGGCTTAAAGGAAACTTAATTGAGACCCAGGCCTTCCCCCATAGCTGTGTATTAAAGTTACACATATGAAATACAGCTCAAAAAAAGGGGAAAAAAAAATGAAAGATGGGATCAAAGGGTTACAGACAGGCAGTAATTGAGTTGAACTGAACTATTAAGGCTGTTCAGGAGGGTCTCAAGCAATTACTCATGCTTTAAGGATGAAACTCATAGCCAGGCAGTCATTCCCATTTACTCGACTCATTCCTGCCGCTTGTCCCTGGGCGCCTTTGAGCTGAGGCACCGGCGTGAAACCTCTCCCCGAGAGGCCACCAAGGGAAATTAAAAGGGGTTAAGCTTCCAAAAGGAGTTCTCTTTCTTAGAGGTAAGCAAAGGAATACCTGGAAGGACTTGATGAAGGTCCAAAGCAGCGTCCGGATGCCCTCCCCTCGGCTCAGGAGCTTGACGAGGCGCATCACGCGGAAGAGTCGGAAGAAGGTGATTGAGATGCGAGAGTTTTCCTCTGCGTTCTGGAAGCCATTGGCACAGAGGCAGGAGTTACAACAGCACGAGAGGAACCAGGGCCCTGGGCCACAGAGGACGCTACGCCGAGGGCTCACTGCACTGTTCCTTGTCCTGGTACTGCTCCCTGGGCTTCCACTCCCCGGCACCACGGGGACTGCTCCAGCCTGCCCTGTCTCCTGTGGTGGTGAGGCTGCTCTACAGGGGCTCTCAAGGCCATCAGCCTCTCCCTTCAGTTTGCCTAATCCAAGGATTAGGGGTAGGTTATGCTGGTACCCCTCCAACACATCTCGTATCAGAGAGGGGCAATTCCCCTTTGACCTCACACTGGAGGAGAAAGACACTTTCTCTTTTGGCCTGTCTTGAGTGTTTCACCCCAGTGAGTGCCTCAGCCAGCAGTTGTGGTGAATCTGGTGTTGGACACCAGCCACGTGCTGCTTGCTCTGCTGGGAAACAGGAGCAGGTCCCACATTTGCCCCTGGGTGCAAAACCCCACCCAGGGGACACGGTGTGTGCTGGTGTCACTGGCACTGCTGCCAGCCTGTGCTGTGCTCCTGCAGGCTGGGCCTTTCTCATTTCTCATGACCCCTTTGGATTTCCCACAGTCTGTGCACTGACTTTTATTTTTTTTGTTGTTGTTTTTTTTTTTTAAAAACATTTTATTTTGGCTTTGCCGCTACTGTTCAAGCGAGGAGTATTTTAAAATAGTCTTTCCTCTGGCCTGTTTTTTCTCACAGCATCTGCTTTGTCCCTAAGCATTTTCCCCTGGGGTTGTAACCAGCTCTGACGTTCCTCAGCCTTCACATGTGTGAAGGCAACATCCATCTGAAGGCTGCTGCAGCAGCAGGCTCACCTGGCCTTGGCAGAGGACTCGCTGCCTAGCTCAAGGGCACAGCAAATGCCATGATTCCCAGTTTATTAAGCCCCTAAAATACTGTGCCAAGCCTGTGGAGCTGGTGCCTTCCTGTAGCAGCGCTGTGGGAATGTGACCTCCTGTCACGGGGGGAGATAAGGCTGTCACCCTGCCACTTTGACCTGCTGTGGAGCAGAGTGCATGGAAACCTCCTCTCTGTCCCCACCCAGGCTGCAAAAACTGCAGTTTGAGTCTAAACACCACCGAAAGAGCAACATTTAGGAGGAAGAAACAGTGCAGATCACCCCTGCTGTTAACTACTCACCACTGTGTAAACCAAGAGAGAACAGACCCTTTGGATTTCCTGTCACTGGGCAGTGCAAACAGCAGCTGCTTGCCTGTCTGCTTCTGATAAAACCCAAGGCCCAGCAGCAGCAGCCTGGGTGGGTGTTTGTGGGGTTAAAAATCGGGATGCAGGTGTGCACCTGTGTGTGCTCCCGTTTCTGAGCCTGGGAGAGCAAACTGGTGCTCAGCTCTGTCCCTGTCCCTGTGCAGGGCCTTGGTGTGAGCCCTGCTCACACAGAGAGCCCAGCACCATGTGCAGCAGTTCAGGATTGCACCCAGCTGTCTGTCTGTCTGTCTGTGGTGTGTCTGTCAGCAGGTAGCTTCCTCCAGCCCCTAGCCAAGGCTGACACTCGCTGCCTGGGGAGTAACGGGGTGAAAAAGATGAGGGAAAGCTGAGTGCTCCCTACACCTCCATCCTTGTTTGGTTATTTGGACTCTGGGCTTCACTGATCTGGAGGGAGTTTCTCTGAGGTGAAGGAGGGAATGTGGCCTCCAAGGAATCAAAAATCATGGCACTGAATACTCTGAGCTCTACAATCCCAGAGGGATAACTGCAAGGTCAAATATCTCTTCCAGTCCTATGGAAGCCAGGCTCTAATACAATCTAAAACAGAGCTGAGGTTGTGTGGACAGCAATCCTGATGTGTTTGTGATTAAAAAAGCAGCATTTTTTTTTATTCTACCTGCTGTACTTCTTGTTGGCTTGGCTCTTTAGGTGGCAGCAAGGTGGGACATGGGTCTAGACAGAGGTTTTAGTATTCCTTTGTCCTTCCTTGCTGAGAGGAGGCAGATATTTATCTCTGCCCTCCTAGCATCCTGGAGCAGGCAAAGTCTAAGCAGCAGATAAAATAGAACAAATCCCTCCCTGATGCAAATCTGCAACTTACTGGCATCAAACCACTTAGCCAAAATCTCAGTGATGCCTCAGAAGATTACAGTCACTTTAAAACTAGGTGGCCATAGATGAGCTGATGCTTGAGTAACCCTGCTTACTTCCTCCTGGCTTTCATCCAGCTTTTTGAATCCTTGCTGGAGCAGGGAGGTTCTGCAGAGTGGCAATCCACAAACTGGAGTTAGTGGTGGTGTGGGAACTGCCTTGCACACCAAGGCAGCAGTGTTTTGTGCACCATTTACTCTTTTTTTTTTGTGCAAAATAAGAGCTCAAATGTTCTTAATGAATCACCTCGTTGAAGAGGAGTTTCAGAGTCCCAGCCCTTCCTTTTCTGGAGGCTCGGACATGAAGTCACCCTGCAAACTCATTCAGTGTCACATCCATAGCAGCCCAGGGACGTGGCTTGTGGCTAACAAGAAATCTTACCAGGTCCAGTTCTCTCTTGGTGGTTCATTAGAAGGCAGAAGGACAGTTAACTCGACCAAAGGAAAGCTCAGGATGCACAAGAGATACACATGTGCAGCATATTCACAGCTCATGTGAACACCAGACTCACACCAATACACGACATGGCAGCTTCATGCACAAATAACTAGGCTGGGCTTGGAGAGAGAACTTGTGACCACGGAGAAGAGAAAAAAGGAGTGTGTTAGAAAGAGTGTCACAGAAGCTGGGAGGGTGGTCTGTATTTTTGGTCTTACCATAGAGGAAGAGCATTGGGTATGTTCAGCTGGCTTTAAAGAAAGGCAGACAGAAATAAGCTGTAATAAGTCTCCAATCAAGAGCCCTAGTAAACTAGGTCTTGGCTAACACAGGAGCAACAAAATGGCAGAAAAGGGCAAAAGGGAATTTGAAAGAAATGCACAAGAGGCTGGGCTTATTCCCTAGGATGCCCAGGGTCGAGGCTGGCCGTGGCAGAGGAAGGTACAGCTGCCACTGAATTTGACATAAGCTCTCTCCACATGTGAGTGCCACCCTGAGTGCTGGACACCCTGGCAGTGGAGGCACTGTGCTGGTAAAATGTTTCTTTTACCAATACAGGTAAAAGTCCAATACAGGGGCTGATTTATCTCTCCCACTCAGATCCAGGCCATGTCTGCACAGGGACCAGCCAGCTTCTAGTGCATCCGTCTGGTTTGGTAAACCCATAATATCCCAGTGCTAAAGCAACACTTCATAAATCCCCATTTCCTTACAGTTCTGGGTGAGGGAACGGGTTGGGAGACTCTAACTGGCTCTTGGCAGCCCTACAACACCCAGCACCAGCTGTGGGATGTGGGTTAGTGCAGCTAATTAGCTCTCTCTACCTTCACCACCTCTCAGCAAAGCCCATGGCACCCAGTGGATTTGTTCTTGGAGGCCAGGCTGGGCTGAGCCGAGCCCTGGTCACGCCTGGAAGAGTCAAATTGCTGCAGACACTGCCTGATATTCCTTGATTAACCTCTGGGGCCACTTCCAATACTGAGAGCAATTCTAAAAAACACCCAAGGCTGCAAGTATCCTTAGGTGTAAGGAGCGGAATTGTAAATGAAATAAAACTGTCTTTATTAGGAGTCCTTCAGTTCAGTAACGTAATCCTTCAGGCTTAACCTCTACCCCATGCCAAACCTGTCTGCTACTTTAGCAAAGTGGGAACTGATGTATTTCTTCTTCTGTCAGTGTCAGAATTCCCCTCTAGTGCCATGGTGGAGTCCTGCAGCATGCTCCTGCTCTCCAAGGATGCTGCAGCAATCAAACTGGCATTGTATTACCTGAAGAAAAACTGTAGTTTGGATTGCACAGCCTAATTTTGGTGATACAGGCAAATCAGAGCAATTAAAAACCCAAGGTACACCAAGCCACTTAATAATTTGGGTTAACTCATTGGTTTGGTAGTGTCAGCTTTCATTGCTTTTGTCCTCCTATTTCACAAGTTTGCTCTTGTGTTTTCAGATCACATACAGGCAAAAGTTGGCTTGAATACCAAATAAAGGAGCAGTGCCCATAGAGACATTTCTTACAGGTCAGGCATAGATTTTGATTTTGTGTTGCTAGGCAAACATCTTTCCAGCAAAACGTTTCTCTGTCCCATCCCCCTTCCTCTTTCTCGTTCTGAAAATCACCTTTTCTAACAGATCCTTATTCTGCTGCTTGCTGCATTGCTGGTAGAAGGTACAGAGGCCCTTCAAAATTACTGAAGGAAACCTAAAAGTGTTGTCATGGGGTTAAAACCATGACAAGTGTTCAGGGTTCTCCATCCTTCCTGGCTGACAGTGTTGGTGAATCTGTGACTGACAGGCTGAAGAAACCTTTTGAGCTGCTGTGGGATATTGTGCCTTCATTGTAATTTCTTATCTTATACCCTGAGCTAACTGGGCTGTGTTTTAAGATGTGGTCAAAAACATTCTAAATAATCTCACTGCCTGTGGTAGAGGCTCGAAAGCAGCACAGGAAAGGTTCTGCTAATGCTGGCAGGTGGGATTTGTACAAACAGGTTCCTGCTGTGCTTGTGCACACTGTGTGAGCTCACGAGGGGGAAATCAACCCCCAGCTTGGGGCTGCTGAAACACATTTTCTGATATCCACAAAGGTTTCAGAAAGGAGGAAAATCCTACCACCTGTGCCGAAGGGGCACCCCATGGACCTGAGCCCAGGTATCTGAGAGCGTGTTAATGGGATTTTCAAGTGTGGCCACACCGAACTCTAAAGCTGAGAGAGCTGCAAGATTCAAGGTTCCAAGAATCTTCAGCCTTGCCAGTGGTGTGGGAATGCCAATTTTAGGATGAGGATGGGCAACTGGCAGCTGAGAATGCTAGTGGTCACATCAGTTCCCAGAGGTGGAGGGGGATTTCATTTCTACAAATCTCAGAGCTAGGTAGAAAAACAAACCCTCATCTGTTTAATGTCTCTGAAAGAGCTTTTGGAGAAGATACACCACTGAGCAGAAAGCACTCTTGGCTGTGATGTTTAATTTCCAGCTGTCTCTGCTCCTGCCTGGGGTTTAACCTGCAAAGGAACTTCAGGCCTTCCGTCCTGCCCTTCCCTTTTGGGGCCTGAATAGCATGAGCATGCTGAATGGGAAAGTCAGAGATGATGTTCTGAGCAGTTTCCCTCGTACAGAAGAGGGATCTGAAGTATAAATCACGAGTCCAAGGCCATATTTAGAGTGATGTAGAAGGGAACCTTGCAGGCTGAGTGGGAAAAGAAATATCTGAGGCAGGATGCTCTGGTGTAAATAGGCTTGGGGGGGATGAGTGCATGCCAAAGACTCTTTGGGTATTTTTTTCCTTCCTTATTTCAATGTCAGTGTATTTAAAAAGACAACAGAGAAGCTAAGGAGCAGAAGAGGCCAAGAAGGAGAAGAGAAGGTTCTAGAAGCCCAAGTAAAAACTCAGTAGGATAAAGACTGAGTGATCCCTGCAACATGTCTGAAAACCTCCTCAGAATATTGTTGCCTGCATACATCACATTAATGTTCAGTCAGGATCCCAGGTAAGGAAGTCTCTGGGAAAGAAGCCAAGTTTATTTAATGGAAGTACCTAAAATCTCAGAGATCACAGCACAGGATAAGGTAATTATGTTCCTGATAATCATGCTCTGGGTGGGATCTTTACTGAGAACTACTTGTGAAGAACACAACCTCTCCAGGCCCTGTTGAACCTCCATGAAGTCTCACAAATCAAACTTGGTGCCTGATGCTGCCATCAAGTCAAGGAAAAAGTTTCTGATGGGTTGTGCTTTGGGAGCTAGGAGAGGATAAAATTTGCACTTTAGGAGAACCGGTCTCAACCTTTCAAGAGCAACATGTAACAGAGTCAACAGAGTAGGATGTTTGTGCTGTGATGCAATCCATTCTGAAATTATGAGAAGGTATGATGTGGCTTTTCAGACCTGTCAAGACAGCAGCAAAAATATGAGCAAAAAGGCTCTGTATAGTCACAGCAGTATCAAAGTTCCCTGAAATACCCATGGCTTAGAATATCTTGTGGATAAAGATTTGGAAGAAAACAAGGAAGTGTGTTAACAGGCAGATTGAAATGAAAAGTTCCAGTAGGAAATTCCTGAGAAGAGGCATGAATCCAGTGTTCATCCTTGTGGAACACTGGAGATGGAGGGCCATGCTGGGAGGTCTGAGCTCCTCTTGGCTGGTTTGCACAAGTGTAGTGGCTCTCCAGAGGAGCAGCACCTGGGGAAGCCTGGAAGGGAGCAGCACCAGGTCTGTACAGTGTGAATTTAATCCACACAACCACGGGGGCTCCTCCACTGCTGCCCAGGTATCGGTGTCTGCTCAGCAGCTGTTGAAGGCTGACTGCACTGAGGTGACAGGACAGGACAGGCAGCATTCCCACTTGCCAGCACTGCTGATGGCAGCAATTCTTTTACACCACAGGACACACTGAAGATGAGTTCAACTCCCTTGGAGGGGATCCAGCCTTTGCTAGGAAGTCCAAACTGATCTTTCCCCTGATGTTTGAGGAGCAAAACTTCCTTGCTGATAGCTTTTTACTTTCTGGCAACACTTTTGTTCAGAGGGATGAATCTCTTTTTGCAAGAGATAATTCAGCTTGTGGAGAGCATTTAGCAGCTGAATTCACAGTGTTGTAATTGCTTTGCTAGAGTTGTCTCAGTCAGTACAGAGGTACAACTGCTAGTTATGCACTAGGTTAGGAGAGGTGAAGGAAATGTGTGTTTGAGATGCTGGCACCACAGTATGACAGAGTAGCTTCATATTTCTCAGGAGAACGAGTGGTCAGGTGCTTATGTTGCCTTTTCTGACTAACCCTGTAATGGCATTTCTCCTCTGAGGAAAGTGTGGCTTGTGGATGAAGCTTCTGGGAGCCCACTTAGAGCAGCTGGTTGCTGGTGATGGGTGTCTGCTATGGTATTTCCTTGATTGTTGAATTTGGAGTATGAAAAGCTCCCCCTGAAGATGCTGTGTCTGTTGGAAACTTGATGTTTGATTTATCTGCCTTGTCCCGTGAGGAAGGGGGTGATACATCTTCACTTCTTGCTTTTTTCTCCTCACTGCAGCAAGGGTGCCCCTGAGAATCCTCTCTGTGTAGTTCCTTTGCATTTGTAGGATGTCAGCCTTTTCCAGATCAAGGTCTTTGCACACAGAGGTCTCCTCCAAGCCTCCTGCTTCAGCCATGCTTTGGGCACAAGGTGAAGGGTGGAAAGAGAGATTCTGAGGAAACAAACTCATCAAAACCATAGGCAAGATGTGGAGGGGAATTAAAAAGCACAAAGATGGCAATGGCAAACCACTCTGCTCTTCTGGAGATGTTTCCTTCCCGTGTGGTCACACTGAGATGGGATCTGCAAGGTTGTGAGTTTCAAGGAGAACGAGGATTTAACAAAGTAAGGGGAAAAAAAGAGGTTTAGAAGTTATCTGTGCCATGGGGACATGGTAAAAGAAGGCACTTGACATCCTCTTGTATTTGTAGTGTCAAAAACTAAACACAATTCTTTCTTTTTTTTTTTGTTTCCCTGCAGAAATATTTTCTGTTAGAAGAATGCTGATGCTGAAAGTCAAATGTTCTGTAGAAACATGCCAATTTTGAAACAGGCATTTCAGAAATGCGAGGTTGAAATCTCACATTTTGTCCTCACACATTTTAATTTGGTTTACATTGCCATTATAAATCATATATAACTAAGAGAAAAAAAAAATCAATGCCAGATTAAACTGCTTTTACTCTACTGAGGCATATGTTTTGAATCTTGATTATTTCAATAGAAATGATCTTTTACTGAA